AGGAAACACAGGTCGAACAGACCCAATGCAACAGCCGCTACACCACTACATCTACCCTAAGCCAACATCGAGATGGCAATCAAATAAATAGATCAGACCTCACATTACTCATTGCCTAGTTATCCCCGAGGTAACTTTACCCTCCTATCCAACAAGGATCCAAAAATACGTAAAACACATACTCTTACCCCAAGCAAATATAAATATAAAGCTCTCGGGGTCTTTCCGTCTTACTAACCATTACCTGGATCTGCACAGACACTCTAAATTCACCACACACTACGCATTTCAATTTCATCTCGTCAAACCATTCAAACAATCCTTCAATTAAAAGGCAACTAATTACGCTACCTTAACACAGTTTATTCCTGCGGCCATTAAACTCTAAGCCATTGGGCAGGTACTACCATCAACACTTAATGATAGAAATGTTTTTAATAAACAGACGAACAAAAATCGAGACAAAAGCACAGCAATTCTTAAACTACTTATTCCCCGATAACTCACCAAATAGTTACTAGACGCCAAACCAAACCAAGACAGCAACAATCCTCAAAATGTTATAACACAAAATTTAAACCCGGGTACCTCTAACCCCCCGATAAACCGTAACATCTAAGTCTCTGGAATCGCTAATCACCTCAAAGCAAACAGCGTAACCCTAAAAAATCCAGCGTCAACCAGTTATAAAATAGTACGAAATAGTATATCACCCCTATTTCACCCTCTCAAAAGATCAACTCAACCACACCTCAGCTCCAAGCAAGGGCAAAATAAATCACTACCTTTCGGGACACCACATTTCATAGACACTACCCGAGAATCATGATGCAAAAGGTACCACACCCAACAAAACACATACCAACACAGTCTCAGGACCAGGAAGCAACCACAAACAATACCAAAGCTTTACAAAAGCACCATTCTCACAAATAAACTACACTCCCCCCTAACACCAAGTACTACCACGACAACCAACGAACAGGTCGCTCAAACCAATGAACATGATGAGCAATAGAAACAGTAAACACATTAAAAGGAACTCTAGCAGATCCCCAACACCCTATTACACGATTACCTATCGCCATAGACTCCCAAACCAAAAAAAAAAAAAAGAAGGCACTAACCAAAGATAGAACCCCACCTAAGGATGAAAACCCGTTCAACCAAAAAAAGCTACTATCAAATCTAGATGCACGACGAGGAACACATCACACACCCAAATAGTGCATAGGAAAAAAACACAAATTAAACCCAAACATAGAAGAAAACCAATGACCCTCTAAAAGATACTTATTCAAACTTACACCTATCACCCCAGGTCACCATCACAACAAAGCAATTATCACAGTCCTAAAAGAACCCAACGAAAGGACATAATGAAAATGCGCTACAACAAACCACGTATCATGCAACACACCATCCAGCATAGAAGCAGAAAGAATAACACCCGTAATTCCACCAACAGTAAAGAGAAAAATAAAACCACCAACTCACCAAACAATAGGGTCCCACAAGCGAACACCACCACACCTCAACATATACAATCAAGAAAACACCTTTATACCAGTCGGAACCCCAATAATCATTGTCACAGAACTAAAAAAAATCACAGTCTTAAAATCCAACCCAACCATAAACATATGATGAGCTCAAACAATACTACCAAGGCACACAATAGCCACCATCGCAAACACCAATCCCATGTAACCAAACAACGAATCATTATTAGTCACACACATACACACATGACTCACCATCCCAAACCCAGGAATAATCAACACATACACCTCCGGATGACCAAAGAATCAAAACAAATGCTGAAATAAAACAGGATCCCCTCCTCCAGAAGGATCGAAAAAAGCACTAGCAAAATGACGATCAAATAAAAGCATAGTAATAGCTGCAGCCAAAACAGGCAAAGACATAACTAATAAAACTGCCGTAAACAAATACGCCCAAACTATGATAGAATATCGACCCAAAGTAACACTATCCAAGACCTCAAAAACACTACAAATAAATTTTATAGAACTAAGAATACTGGAAACACCAGCCAAATGCAACGAAAACATTAAAAAATCAACCCCCCAACCTGAATACCCAGACCCAGAAAGAGGCGGATAAAAAGTTCAACCAACACCAGCACCCCAAAACATTCTAGTTGACAGACAAAAAGAGGCAGGCCCAAGTAACCAAACCCTCAAAGCATTCATACGAGGTAACCTCAAATCTCTTAACCCTAAAAACAACGGCAACAAATATTTACCAAACCCACCTATAAGAACAGGCATAAGAAAAAAAAAAATCATAGCTATCCCATGATTCGTTACAACATATTTATACACCTCAGGGGAAACGATTTTATGAAACGGATCCAAAAAATTCAACCGTATAAGCATACTAAGGGCAAGCCCAGTAAGACCACCCCACAAACCCAACATAAAATAAATCATAGATATACGCTTATGATCCAAAGACATAAATCACCCAAACCTCAAAATCCAAAGACTAGACATAATCAACCATTAACAACAGTAGGTAACCAACAAAGGCACCTCCTATTTTGAAAACAGACAATCTAATTAACCTAACCTACTGCCTCCCTCCACTCCCACTTTAATTCAGAAGGTTGGGTACTCAAACCCTTCCCATCGTTAGCAGCGACAGATTAAAACCCTCAACTTATATATCCCTTACGAATCTCAAAGTATAAACCCGCCGCTAGCATTAGCAGAAAGTGCACAAAACATCTCAAACTCTTATACCAAACCCCCTCCAAAGGTATATTCAACACAAGAGAAACCTCCACATCAAAAATAACATAAAAAACCAACAAATTAAGATAAGTATCTCCAAACTTTTTATAAATATGACGACCCAACATATAGCCACACTCATAGACAGAAATTCACACCCGAGCACTAGAATTCCTAATTCTCCGATCCACATGAGATAAAAAACCAAAGTAGACACAAAGAACCAAGAAAAGAAACGAGTATAAAAAAGCAATACAAGCGACTACAACCATACCAACGGGTAAAACACAACCTTGGGGCAAGAACCCAAACTTTCAATTAAGCTACCAATGGAACAACAACATCACTTACCAACGAAGACCATAATCTTACAACCATTATATCACAATGGCCTGCTCAGCAGCCCTATCAGCTTCAATTGACTCCCCAGGAGACCACAAATCCCCAAAACTCGCATCCTAATTTAGACTATCAAACTGACATTACCAAACAACACTACTCGCCCGAGGGCCTGTAAGGCCTTCTCAAAGTTAACAGCATTGCAATTTCTCAATAATCTACACGAGCACAATTGAAACACACCCACCAGAAGCGAAAGAACAAACACAGGAATAACATCACACCACATAAAGTTCACAAACAAATCATAACGCACTCGAGGCAACGTAGCTCGAGCTCAAACAAAAAAAACAGCATGGAACATAGTAACAACAAAAACAAATGACAACCCTCAAAAAAACAACGAACTAACCCAAGCAAACACAAACATAAACAAGTACTCACAAGCAAACAAACAAGTAAAATAAACCCCACTATACTCTACACTCAACCCTCTAACCAACTCTCTCTCAGACTCAGCATAATCAAAAGGCACACGATTACATTCACACAACACGCCAATCAACCAAAATATATAACACACGGGTAACAAAGCACAAATCAATCATTTTTCCAAAAGACCCTCACTAGAATAATCCGACGCCACCAATGCCAAAACAACAACCACACACAAAAAACACGCCTCAAAAGTCAACGACCCCAAAGCAGAACGAACACAACTCATTAACGCAAACTTTTTATAAGAACCTCACCCAATACTCAACAAGCTATATCCTGTAAACCTTGTTACAACCAAAAATCATAAAGTTCAGTTCCTAGAATCCTCCCCAGAACCACACAGAGCAAATAACACACAATATGAACAAGCAACCAAAATCATCAAAAACAAACCAACCCAAGACAACCAATCCCGAAACTGAGAAACAACAAACTTATACTTAACCACCAACTTCAATAAGTCAGCAAATCTTTGAAACAAACCAACCAATCCAACCTTATTAGGACCCTTACGAATCTGCACATAACCAAGCATCTTACGCTCCCCAAGAATAAAAAAAGCAACAAACAACATAACAAGCGCAAATACCACAAATGACCTAACCAACAAATAAAAAACATTAAACCAAAACACCACACTCCCCCTATAATCTTAACAGACTATTCCTACAACACGACAAACTGCAATTCCAATAAACTAAGGACGACAACTCAAACCAACAACAGAAACACACCGATCACACGCAAAGCAATCATTACTCTCAACGAAAAACCTTAAACTATGTCGTTCCAGCAATCACGGGACATAATCCACCCTCTGCGTGTAAAACAGACATCATAAACATTAGACCACTAGATCCACACAACCTATACATAATTCGAAAAACCCGAAGAACCTCGCGGAAATTTATCATTTATAGCTCAACTAACCAAATACACCTGCTCCGAAACACTGTAAACAACTCACGAAACCATAACAAACACAGGAAACGAACAAACACAAAACACCCTAACCAACTTATAAAACAATGAAAGAGAAAAAGGAGTAGACACCAACAAAATACAATAAAGAAATCATCCACCTAATCTCAAACAAGAAGAGTACTCCTTACCACACCAAGAAAAAAACCAAATCACCAAGGAAGCCCAAAATACATAAACCCCAAACAAACAAAAAACAATATCAACAGAAGATACCAACGATAACAAAACCAGTACAGCAGTAGAAGCAAGCATCATATGTGTTCAACACCCAAATCATTTATAACTGAACAACCAAAAATAGACCGATAATAACACAAACATAACAAACAAAATAACCTCAAACCACAACCAATCTCCCAAACCAAAAAAAAAAGGAAAAAGAAAAACAGGACACTTCAAAAATGTAGAAATACCTCAAACAACATACCAATTAGAATTCAAGGCAACATGATAAACCCAATACACAAAAGGGAAAATCCCAAACTTTATCGAAAACCCCACAAAAGTAAGCAACCAAAAACCCTCAGACACCATACCAAACAACACCAAAACAGAGGCCACCGCAGAAACCACATAAAAGAAAAATAATGCCGAATACACTTTTAATGTAACCCTAAAAACAAAGAACACAGGAAACAGACTCAAAGTAGCAAACTCAATAAACAACCAAGCCATAACAAAGTTATCGCCAGCAAATGTAATAACAGAATACAACACATGACTAACCAAACCGCATCAAACTACAACCAAACCCATCTAAGATCTATGAGAAAACAGAAGTATCTGATGCACAATATATCAATGAATCAATAGCACCAACCTCTCATAAAACAAAAGCACAAAAATAATCAATGCACCATACCCCTGCATCCCCAGTACACAATAATGACCAGCGGCTGAACCAAAACAACCAAAAGCCAAATTCACAATCGGCCGAAGCACCAAAACCAGAGAACGAACCAAAAACCTAACCAACTCAATAAAAAAAATCACAGGAACAATCCATAAAGGAGTTCCAGAAGGTACCAACGACACCAAAAACATACCTACCGAACTCAACCGTGAAAACAACAAAGAAACAAAAATAGGAAAAACCCAAAACACCACAACACCAACATATATATGAAGGAAAAAAATATAAGGAATCCGCAATCCAATAAAAAACACAAACAAAACCACTATAGCAACACGATAAACTAAACTACCCCAACCACCTGATACCAAAGAATCCAATCAACTTACCACAGACCTCAAATAAAGATTACCCACCGAAGAGAGCACAAAGCATTGTGTGGGCATGAACCACATAGTTTAATTAACTTATCACTCCCCCACCGTAAAACACAATCTCCGACGCTTCAAATCAACACTTTCAAATAAGCTAGATGAGAATACTGTAGCTAACAACTAACCCCTCTGCGACCAAACCACAATATGCACATTACACCAAACTACAATCCACCACCCTAAACAAACAAAAATAAACTAAAACACAACAACACCAAAAAAACCACAGAAACAATCTGACCAAACACACCATTAACATAACCCCGCAACCTAACATGACGAGTCAACAAACCCCCCAATAAAACTAAAGGAACAATACCACCCAAAAAGATATAACCACCCAAAAAAAAAAAAAGAACACAACTAAAACTAGAAGACATAGAAACAGCAAAAACCTCACAAAAAAACTGAACAGTTGGAGGAAATGACATCACCGCACACAACGACCCAACAAACAAACAATTCACAACTACCCCACTCGAAACCAAATACTTTAACACAAATCAATTACGACTTCCCACCATTAAGTAAGCAACCCACAACACCAAAAACATCAAACCTGCTGACAAACCATGACCAACACTATACAGCATTGCTAATCTCACTTTCTCCAACTCACCAACACCTAAACACACACAGGAAATTTTTATATGAGCCAATCTCATCAAAGCCAACCAACGCTTAGTATCCAATTCTACACAAGCACACACAAAAAAAACAACTGAAGCCACCAGACATACAACCAAGTAAAGAATATGAAACAATACATCCGGAAGAACATAACTACACACTCGACACAATCCTAATATACCCAACTTCATCACGTAACCTCTCAAACAAACTGACACAGGAAATGTAGCCTCCGCATGAACCAACGGAAGTCAGACATGAAACGGAAAAATAGGTATCTTAGAAATAAACAACACACATAATATCAACATCACCTCATACCCAAGACCACCAATCATAGACCAAAAACCAAAACTCATAGACCCAAACCAAACCGACAAATAAACTAAACACAACAACATGGGCAAGCTCCTCAGCAACACATACCCAAGCAAATATCACGAAGCAACATAACGCTCAGGATATGGAGACTCCACCACCAACAAGACTAACAACGCAAGAATAGACACCTCATAAAAACACCAAAATCAAAACACATGCATACAACAATAACACAACACCGAAGAAGTTAACCTAATTACCAACATCCCATGACCAATTGTCCTAACCCCTCTTACAAAAAACATCAAGGAAATCCCCAACAAAACAGACAAAAGAATCAAATAAAATCCCACAACATCTAAAGAAAATATACCTGAAACCACCAAACCAGAATAAACACCTATCGGGTATCTGCACACATACACCAACAACCCACCAACAAGAAATATATAAAATCTTACACTCCTACTAAACCAATCAAACCACCAACGTCCCATAATCGAGTCAAGATAACAAGACCTAAAACAACCTCAACAGTAAAAATTACCATCAAAGCCAAGAATAAAATACGAAACTCTTCATAACCACTAACCAAACAACTAAACAACAGCAACACATTCAATTTCTCTAACACGATAATACACCCAAGCAACCGAGGCACCGACAACGCCAAACTAATAAGAGTCAAAGAAACACCAACTAATAACAGAACCCGACTCACTATAAAAAACTAAATAAATTAGGGAACCCACTTGAATAAGGAACGATCCACATACCCTTAAACACTAACAAGAGAACCAACATCAAAATCCTCGAAACCTTACCAACCCCAATATACGGATACTCCGGATGACATGAACCCAAGTAACCAAGCAAAAAAAACAACGAAACTAAAAACCAAAACACCAACTGGCGCACATCATAATAACAACAAGACTCTTTAAAAGTAGGAAGTCACATAAGAAACAAAAATAAAACCACTAAAAACAACCCACCAATCTTAGACTCAACCGAACGCAACATAGCATAAAACGGCAAAAAATATCACTCAGGCTTTATCGTCACAGGAGTTACCAACGGATTAGCCTCAATATAAGCCTCCGTATCAACAACCAAATCAGGACACAACCACATTAATCCCACACACAAGTACAAAGAAACTAAAAGCATAAAACCATCCTTCAAAGTAAAAAATCTATGAAACAAGACCACATCCCTATACCCAGAACTTACAAACAAAGGATTATTAGAACCCCCCTTATGTAAATAAAATAAATGAATCACGCTTAGCCCAACGATAACAAAAGCCAAACAAACATGAGCAGAAAAAACCCGAACAAGTGTAGCCTCCCTAACAGAAAATCCACCGACCACAAAACTATATATTTGTCCACCCACAAAAGGAACACTGTCAACAACCGAGGTAAGAACAGTAGCAGCCCAGTACGACATCTGGTGCCAAGGCAATATATAACCCAAAAAAGCCTCAACCATCATAACCAGATATAAAACGAACCCAACATTCCACACCCCAAACTTAGAATATCTCGAATAATATAAAGCACGACCCATATGTAAAAAGATATAAACAAATAAGAACGTAACACCCCAAATATGCGCATAACGCACCAACCAAACAAACAAACTTTCATTAGTAAAACCCGTAACACATGAAAATCTAACCTCACACCCAGAAACATACAAAAAAGATAACACTACCCCAGTCAACAACTGAAAAAACATAAACCCTGATATCATAAAACCCCTACACCACAAATATCTCAAAGAAACATTAGTAGGCAAATCCAAAACATTTGAACGAACTATAGCCAACACTTCCTTCTCAAAAGATCTCCGACTCCACAGACCGACAGTTTACCACATTAACCTAAGAAAGACTCCGCCATACCCCTACAACACATAAACAAGAAAATACACAACCAACCACACATAATCAACAAAATGCCAATATCAAACAACCAACCTAGGTCGATAAGCAGATACAGCTCTCGCAACATACTTAATCAGAAATCCAAGAGAAAGAACCCCAACAAAAACATGCAACAAATGCAAACCCACTGCACACAAAGACGACGAAGAGTAACCACTATCCACCAAACATACACAACACTCACGAAACTCACTATACTGCAACACAATAAATGACATCCCCAATCAAAAAGTCAACTTCAAATTAAATAAACCCACTGGAGACCCCATAGAATGATGATACGCCGCAACAGACACCGAAGAAACAAACAATATCGCAGTCCCAATTACGGGAAGCTCATTCCAAAAAGTTAAATTCAAACTCTCAAAAGAATTATACCAAGCCACAGCCAACAAAATAGAAACAAACACAACAGCCTCACTAAAAATAAAAATAGCAAACGAACCAGGTATGCGACTCCTAATCCCCAAACTATCAACCTCCTCAAGATAAAACACAGAGACGTAATAAGTCAAAACCAAAAAATAGACAAAATCTGAGAATTCCGAATAAAACACCGACAAAAGCACAGCTAATAGCAACCTAGAAAAAACAAACGGAAGGAACCTCATAAGATCTCCCCATAAGATCTCCATAGTAAGCGAACCTAACTACAACAAAATTCTTAAGCCCAATAACCTTAAAGACCCAAAAATCTACGAAATAAACCATCTCTTACACAAGGCTACCACCTAAAAGCATCCACCC